GGGCCCTGGGGGCTCTGGCCTTGACGTCTACCTCCAGCCCCCCTACCCCTAAGCCCATGCTGCAGTCGTCCTGCCCACTGCCGTAGCTCCCCTTTGCCTTCTGCTGGGCCCTGACCCTGCTAGGCTGGTGGGGAGCCATTTGAGGTCTCTTCAAGGTCTCACCCAGGTGCTGGCTCAGGACCATAAATCATGCCGGCATGGCTGTGGGGGCTGGGGGTGGCAGCTGGGCCGGGGAGGGGAGTGCGGGGGGGGGGCCTGTCCCAGGACATGCTGCGTTAGCAGGGAGCAGTGCCCAACTGTGAGCCGGGCCGGGTGCTGACTGTTGCTGCCCTAGTCCAGGCACATCAGAGGGAAAGGCTCCCACCCAGGGAGGCCAGCCTTGGGGGAGACCAAGCAGGAGACCTGGACCCCAACCCAGGTAACTGGGATACCATGAGGATAGATACAGAGGTGATCCCCGCCCGACAGGAAACTGAGGACAGAAAAGCAGCCCCCCAGGAGTAGGTGGAGAGACTCCCTCACTAGGGGTGGGGTAAATAGCCCTCTCCTTTAGCAAGGAGAGTCACGCAGAATCCTCTGCCCCAAAGAACAACAGACACTCACACACCATCCAGAGGAACAGAGACTCAGACCTTGCAGGAAGGAGAGATTGACCCTTTCTTCCCCCCGGGACAGACACAGAAATAAAGCCCCACCCCAACTTGGCCAGAGAGACAAACGCGTAGATCTTCTCAGAGAAAGTGACACACCACCCTTCCCCAACGTGGAAGGACAGAGCCCCGTGTATTCCAGGGGGACAGGCAGCAGATATGCCACCTCCCGCCCAGTCCAGGTCTAGAGGCTGCCTGATGGCTGGGAGGCACCTCTTTCTCACGCTCTCTGCCACTCTCTCGTCCGCCCAGCCATTTCCTCTGCCTTGGAGATGGGGTGGGGGGAGGCTGGGAGTGACATCCCAGAAAGGATGAGAGGTGGAGGAGCCCCTGCCCAGGATTCCAGGGGGCAGATGTCAGAAGGGATCAGCTGGTCCTCACCACCCCCAGTGCCTGGTTCGGGTGAGAGGGTCAGCAGGCAGGGTGCCGGTGACCCAGCCAAGCTGGCCGCTGTCAGGAGCCCCCGGCCTGACGTCAGGCCTACTCATTGTTGCTGCTGGGGCTTGAGTCACTCCCTGTGACGCACTGGGGTCAGCCCTGGAGCGGCTGGGGGTGGCCTGCAGGGCCAGCTTCAGGGCTCAGCTCTCCCCTGGGCACACTAGGATGGGGTGGGGCCATCCGAGGCCACATTCACTATGCAAAGCCAGCTGCCTACTCCCAAGGTCTTGGGTTGGCCTTCAAGTTCCCTCCAAAGGCCTTCGCTGCAGGCAGGCCTCAGAGGGCCTTCGCTGGTCGCCTTGCCTGCCTGGCTGGCCATGGCTTTGGATGAAGTCAGCTCCATCCGTCCTGGCCTCTCCTGCCTCAGAACTCCCAGTATCCACCCTCAGCCCTCAATGAGACCTCTCCCTCCAGCTCTTTTCTTTCCCCTTTCCAGAAAGCCTCCCCAGAATAATTCCCTGAAGCTCCACTTCTTCCTGGAATCGCCAGCCCCCCTTCCTGTCCATCTCCGCAGGTTGGAGTCTTGTGCTTTCTGCAGCAGTCCCGGTTTTCTGCTGGTGCCCAGTCACCGCCCACCTTGCTGAGAGCAGGCCTTGGGGCTCCTCTTCACTCTGAATGTGTCGCTTTCTATTCCAGGCCACTGGCATCTCTCCGGGATGACAGCCGTCCCTTCCATCCTGGCCCCCTTTGGCCCCTGCAAAACCTGCTGCCATTCTCCATACCATTTATCATGTTTTCTTGCCGGCCCATCTCCTGTGTGAGACTCTGAGCTCCCAGAGGGCCGGACTGTGGCTTGTCCACCTTGGTAGGACACAGGCCTGGCATGCAGACAACTACACATGTGTGACATGAATGAATGATTACATCTTGGTCATCATGAGTAGTGGCACAGGATGGGAGAATTCATTCCACACAGCCTCATTTAAAAAACATTGAAATATCATTGATTTACGATGTTGTGTTAGTTTCTAGTATACGGCATAGCGATTCAGTTATACATATACATTTTCTTCATATTCTTTTTCATTATGGGTTATTACAAGCTATTGAATATAGTTTCCTGTGCTACACGGTAGGACCTTGTTGTTTCAGCCTCTTTTTTTTTTTTTTTTGGCCAAGACCCTCCCTCCCTGACAGGACCACCCAGATGGGTGTAGAACTCAGGGTCAGAGTTGCAATGAGAATGGCCCTGTAAGGATTCAGGGGGGCATGGAGAGGCAAGGATTGGCCAGCATCTGGGCCCCAGATAAGGGAGATGAGAGAGATCAGCCTCACCCTCAGGCAGGAAAGGCTCCATGGACAGGGAGAGGTTTTGGAGGGAGGAGAGTGGATAAAAGGATTGGCAGAAGGGGGAAAGAGTAGCCATGTGGTCTTGGCAAGTGTACTAGTCAGGGTTCTCTGGAGAAATAGAACCAATTGGAATTATATATACAGAAAGAGATTTATTATGAGGATATAGCCTATGTGATTGTGGAAGCTGTCAGATCCCAAGATCTGCAGTCAGCAAGCCAGAGGTCCCAGAGGGCTGATGGTGTGGTTCCAAATGCCACCAGGCAGGCTCGAGGCCCAGGAGGAGCAGTTGTTTCAGTTCAAGTCTGAAGGCAGGAAAAAGCTGATATCTCAATTTGAAAGCAGTCAGAGTCAGAACTTTTTCTTCTATTCAGGCCTTCAACTGATTGGAGGGGGCTGCCCTCACTAGGGAAGGCAATCTGCTTTACTATGTCTATGATTCAAGTGTTAATCTCTTCCAGAAACACCCTTCCAGACATCACTCAGAATCATGTTTGACCAAATGCCTGGGTACTTTTGTGGCACAGTCAAGTTGATGTATAAAATGAACCACTACAGCACATCACTACATATCACTGAGCTTCGGTTTCATTATCTCTAAATTGGGGGCAAACTGTATTTACTGTCAAAGGTCAGTTGGAGGAATCAACTCACTAATACATGTGAAGTGCAGGTGTTGTGCCTCAGGGGACAGAGAGAGGTCAGACACTCCCTTCTCTCACTGGCACTCACTGGGAGCTGGGCTGTTTCCTCCCTCTCCAGGGCTGGTTTTAACCTCTTTGGGTCCCTCTCCTTTGACTCCTTACAGATCTTACCCTCTCAATATTTTATCTTGATTCCCTTCTGGTTTAGTCCAGGCTCCAGAAAAGGATGCTGGTCTGTAAGGCAGGCAGCTTCTTCCTCCCTCAGGCCTGGAGGTACTCTGCCTGGGGAGAGGTACCTACAACTGGGTCAGAGATGAACCAGAGACCAGGGCTGCACAAGGGTGGAACTATGGGGAGGAAAGAAGAGGTTGGGAACAGATGGGAGGGTGTGTAGCCTGGTGGAAGAAGGGATTGTGTAGGGGTTTTGGAAGAACTGGGTGGGAGAGGGGATGCCTAAATGGTGGGTGGGTGATAGGGATATGCTGGGGTCACCCAGTACTGGTATTTGACACCCGTCTGTACCTCTGATGATCAAAATGTAATCCTTCATTCATTCTGGACTCTGCATTCAGTAATCATCCTGTAGCTGGAAATTGGACACAGTAAAAAAGTGGCACTTCCCCACCAGAGAGTAGGTGTTGGGTGGGGAGGGTGAGGGTGAGGAAACCAGAAAGAGAACTTCTGTCATGGTAAGGAATCCTGTATTTGAGCCCCAGCCTCTACCACTTACTGAGTGATCTTGTGCAATCTCTCAGTGTCAATTTCTTTATCTACCTTGTAGGATTGATTGGTATTAGGCTTAAATTAATTAATATACATAAAGCACATAGAATCATGCCCTTTCCAGTCCACTCAGTAAATGTTATCTATTATGATTTTGGGAGAGGAAGTGTGTGTTAGGAAAATGAGCATCTTAATCTGCAAGTAAACAACACAGGAGTGTCTCCTGTTGGTGTTGGGGCATGCCAAACTCTGGGCATTAACAGAGAAACTGACAAATCCTTGGCTGCCCTGGGCTTATAGTCTACATGGAGAACCAAATATGCTCCCAGAAAGTTACACAGCACAAATATGTACTCATATTTGTACAAATATACACTCATATTTGTATAACAATTTGGGGGTGGAGGGATGGGTTAGAGTGCCTGTGCTTAGCATGCACGAGGTCCTGCGTTCAATCCTCAGTATCTCCGTTAAAAACATACAAACAAACAAACAAAAAAACCAGTTTACAATTCACAAAGGCTTTTCAATGAATTATCTCTTGTGATCCTCGCAACAGCTTCCCATTTATAGAGGAGGAAATCAGAACAGATGAATGACGTCAAGAGATACAGAGGCAATGGCAGAATCACAAGCTTTACAAGAATTGTCACCAGATCGGTCATGGCAGAGCACCAAGAAATGCTCCTGTGTGAAGATAACACAGTAAATTTACGACCCTTTATCCAGCATCTTTTTCCGGCCAGGGATCTTGTCTATTACGCATATTGAACAAGCTAAAGTTTTGCCGACCACTCAGCATAATGCACAGAACACTGGCCTAAGCTCATCTCCAGGGCACCTCTCCGAATGACATGCCCTTCATCTTAGGGGATCGGTGCCCCTTCCAGGCCTCTGAGTCCAGAGTAGGGGACCACGTCTCCGTCCCAGGAGTGGCTCGCCGCCGATGACTCCTCTCAGCCTTAGGGAGGCAGCACAGAGCCCATCAGGCCTCTCCTTCCCTCATCTCTATGGCGGAAGTGAGTTGTTCCGGCCGAAACACAACAACATTCTCGGTGATGGGAGTTAATGGATTCGTCCACTTGAGGGGGATATTTCTCACCATCAAATCTTAAAATCCGAAAGATAGTCAAGAAAAAGGCATCATTCAAACTATAAAGCAGCATAGGGCTCTGTTTTTCCGCTTGTGTGGCGGTAAGACGACTTGGGCGGCCGCACTGGTGTCAGGGCTCGGCCAGCCGTGCCGGCGCCCCCGCCGGAGGCCCATGGGGCGGTGGGACCGGCCGGGCTCGCTGAGGCGGGCAGGTCTTCCGGCGCCGGCACCGCCTCCTGCCAAGGGGATCTGGCGCCTGCCGGGAGGGTGGCTTCGTGGCCCGCGGGTCCCGGACCGGGATTCCGGCAGGTACGGGTCCGTTCTGGCCGCTTGCCCCCTTTTTCCGTGCGAGGGCGGGCGCGCCTCGAGCTCCTGGGCCCTGCCAGGCCGGGCGCGGGGCGCCGCTTCCGAGACCTGGAGGAGTCCGCTCCTCCCGCGTCCTGGCACCGTGGAGGTTCGCGGGGAGCCGCGGTAGGAGAAACCCGACCCGGGCGGGAAGTCCTTCCTTCGTCCCGCCGGGGTCTCTTGATGCGGAGCCGAATAACTTTGTGTTTTTGGTTTCAGCTCATCTCTTGCGGTTCATCGCACACGCGGAGGTTGGCGTACCTGCGGGGATCGCACCTGCGGAGGGCGTAGCTGGGCGTGAGGAGGAGGAAGGGCGAGATCCAGCCTGAGTGACCGGCGCTCCAGCCTGCCCTCGTAAGGTGAGAATGGGGGTGCTCTGGGCTCCAGCCTGGCTCAGAGAAGGCGTCAGCCTCTGCTCCTGTGCTCTGCAGACCTGGGCCTTGGGGGGACCAAAGGGACGAGACTGCCCAGGCCCTGCCTCGGAGAATTCCCCTGCTCATCGGGGGCGGGCGTGAGGGAGCAGATAAACTCATCACAGACCAAAGATGGCTGCGTTGGGAAGGAGGCTGGATTTGGTTAGTACTGACTTCTTGGAGTAGTGGAGTCTAGCATAGCGCTGAGAATGAGGGAAGAGCCTGGGTTTGGGGCAAAAGTGAAGAGATGTATGGCTTGTTTGGGAATTACTGGGACACGAGAGGGGAAAGTTGTGGAAGAAAGGGGAGCCGGACCAGAGCTAGAAGTTTTTAGATGGGAAACAGCTAGATTGAGTTTAACTAGAGGGCAGAAATGAGCAAGAGCGCCCTGCTCAGCCTAAGGGTGTAGGAGAAACCAATCCAGCAACCATTCCTGGGTCAGGATGAATTGAGCAGTTACTTTGTACTAGGAACCAGGTACTGAGATTCCAGCAATGAATAGGATACGCTCCCTGCCCTCAAGGGCTTGTCTGCCTAGTTGGAGAGCCTGGACAAGAGTAACATCTGTGAAAAGCTAACTGATAGTACAGGTAGCTCTGGGCCGATTGCCAAGTGACAGGCAGAGCCAGCTTGATTTCTGAGCAATCTGAGGACAGTTGCCCTGTGTTTAGGGGCACAGAGACAAACAAATACACTTCCAAGAGAGCTGCCAGATCCTGAGGAGATAAGATGTGATGTCAAGCTGGCATGTTTATGGGGACTGGAGACTCTTAACCAGTAGAAGAGGTAGGGGGGTGATGGAAAAGTTGCCTCTAACTATCTGAAAGGCTTGTTTATGGAAAAGAGATGAGATTTATTCTTTGTGACTTTTTTGTTTGTTTTGGGGGGAGGTAATTAGGTTTATGTATTTACTTCTTTGTTTTAATGGAGGTACTGGGGATTGAACGTATGCTAAGCACGCACTCTTCCACTAGGCTATATATACTCTTCCCCCTTATTTTGTGTGACTCTTGAAAGCAAAACTAAGACTAATGTTTTGAAGCACTAAGAGACAGATTCCTTCAGTAAAAAGGATAACTGAATTGAGCTGTTTAAAGATGGAGTGGCCTGCTGTGAGAGGTAGTGAATTCTCTGTCAGAGGAGGTGTGTTAGCTGAACCCTCTCCCTCTGGGCTCATACTTAGTTACTTTTGAAGGTCTGATTCTTAAGTCTATTATTTCCTTCTCACTCTCTCCACCAGTCCTGTCCTGTAGCCTTGCATCATCTCTCAGCAAAAAAGATGTCATAATTATAGCAGCTAATACTGAGTGTTTACTGCTTGTCAGGAACTGCTTTAAGTGCTTTACAGATGTAATTCATCCCATCCTCCAGATGACCCTTTCAAGGTAGCTATTGTTAACATCCCCTTTTTATAGACTAGGGAAACTGAGACATGTGGGGATTAGGCAGCTTGCGGAAGATCACACAGTGAGCAGTTGGCAGAGGTGGAGTTCCAACCCAGGCTGTCTGGCTTTCAAGTCACTGCTCTTAACCCCTATTCCACTGTGTTTTACATGTGTTATTTTATTTAATCCTCATAGCGATCCAAATTTATAGATAAGAAAATAGACTTAGAGAGGTTGAGAGATTTGCTTAAGGTCACAGAGCAAGATGTAGGGGAGCCTGGATTCAAACCCAGCACGGTTGGACGAGAAAACCCCCACACTCTGCACTTCACTCTCCCACAACCCACTGTGCCATCTCGATAATGGTCACTACTGTAGGGGCCTCTCACTGAATTCCTTGCCCAGCCCTTTCTATCTTAGATTGACAAATTTTTAGCAAGAGCCTGTGAATGGCCCTGGAAATGTGCGAGATTTGGTATGTACATGTGTCAGTCAGATGTTAAAGTCTAGTCTTCTTAGCTTTTCCTGACTTCTCAAAGCAGTTTGTGACCCCAAAATCGTGAAGAGTTATTCTTTGCCCATCAGCCAGAGTTAATTTTTGGATGCACAAATTTGATCTTGGACAGTGATGCACTGACCCTTCACTGCCTGCAGGACAGAGTCCAAATGCCTTAATCTGGTCATTCAGGGTCCCAGGGAATCAAATTCCAATCTTCCTTTTCTTCTTAGTCCCACTGTGTAGTCTCACCACTCTGGTAATGTTTACCTGCCTATCTCTCCTCTATCCTGGAGTCTTAAGGGTAGAAGCTGACAGGTGTTGCATGGTGTGCAGGTGCTGTAAAATGCACTGAATACCGTCACAGAATTCAAGCCCTGGCTGGTTGTTTGAATTGATAACTTTGAAGCTCTCCTCCATGCTTACTTTGGCAGCACATATACTAAAATCGAAGCTCTCCTATCTGACCCCGAGAGTCTAGGATTGTTGATTGTTGGCTGGCACGTGCTGCTGCAGCGCAGAGAAGGGTGTGGGGGTGAGGTGAGGCGGGGCCGGGCCTGGAGGGGAGTGAACAGGCAACACACAGGTTGTTCAGAAGGTGTTGGCATTCTGACCTGGCTCCTCTTGCAGGGTGGCCCCTGGGTGGGGTGAAGCTCCCTCATCTTTACTCTCGTCCCCATCCCATTGTGGGCCACTGGCTACAAGATGAACTGTCGCTCGGAGGTGCTGGAGGTGTCGGTGGAGGGGCGGCAGGTGGAGGAGGCCATGCTGGCCGTGCTGCACACAGTGCTTCTGCACCGCAGCACAGGCAAGTTCCACTACAAGAAGGAGGGCACCTACTCCATTGGCACCGTGGGCACCCAGGATGTTGACTGCGACTTTATCGACTTCACCTACGTGCGTGTCTCCTCTGAGGAGCTGGACCGCGCCCTGCGCAAGGTCGTCGGGGAGTTCAGGGTAAGGGGGTGGAATGGTGGGCTGCGGGTGTTCCCTGGGTGCTGTCCCCCTGGCTGGCTGTCAGACCAACTTCCCCTTCCTGGGTGTGCAGGTCAGGTTCTTTCAGGAAGGTGCATTCAGAGCTCCTCTGGGTGGGGAGAGCTTGGTGGGGGGCAGCGAGGGGGCCTTGTAAAAATACTGAGGAAGAAGGAGAGCAGGAGGCCTTGGCGGCCAGGTCTCCTGGGCGATCATTGCCCCTGTGCTCTTGACCCTGTCTCTGACTCCACAGCCCTCTCTGCTGACACCTTCTCTTTTCCTCTGCTTCTACTTGGGCCTTTCCCATATGAAACTCCCAGAGAGCATCCCTTGGGGAGCTTGGTGCGTGTTTGTGTGTGCCTGTGTGGGTGCAGAGAAGGTGGAAGGGGCACACCAGGCTGCTAAGGTTGGTCGCCTCAGAAGGTGGGACCAGGGGTGTGGTTTTTAATTTTATCTTCATTTGAGGTTTCAGTGTTTCACTGTTTCAGTGAATGTGTCATTTTAGATTTTCAAGTAACCAAGGGAATTTCTTTTAAGGTGCCCTGCCTGGGGTCAGACAGAGATGGAGGGTTGTCTGTCTGACTTCCAGTCCACATGAGTTGAGAGAGCCCCTACCTTGTGCTGGGCACTGCACGCTCCTTGCAGGGGGTGACCCCTCTCCCAGGCCACAGTATTGCCCACTCCCCAGCCCCCCGGTCCCTTGGAGCTTGGAGAGAGCTTCCCATCCCCCTGCAAAGGAGGCAGCGGTTCTCAGCCCTCTGTCCTCCAGATGCCCGTGAGAGGCGCGTGGAGCATAGTGGTTAAGAGCACACACTCTGGAGCCAGGCTCTACCACCCAGCAAGGGTGTGACCTTGGGCAAGTTACGCCACTCCTCTGGGCCTCAGATTCACTGTGTGTAAAATTGGAATGATAATTATACCCACTTCATAGGGCGTATACACTGGGAGGATTAAATGAGCCAAGTGCCTGAGGCCGTCATGCAGAAAGCTTATAGAAGTGGTAGCCAGCGTTACTGTCAGCGGGGTCATGTGAGCTTGGTTTGTCCATGAAGAAGAGTCTCCTTCCTTGATGGGCAGTTTAGGACTTGAGAGAGGCTTCCTTACCCTCTGGGTTGGCCCGCAGATGGAAAGGTGCTTTAGGGTCTCGGCTGTACTAGGAGGAGTGTGCGGCCACCACACCCCATGGCGGGGACAGGCAGAGGTACTGGACCAGGTGGTCCCACCTGCTTCTCAGAGGAGAGAGGGAGAAGCAGGCCGGTCTGGTCTGTCCTTCCCCTCACGTCCTACTTCTGCTCCTTGGCTTCTGTCTTTCTAATGAGGGATCACTGGGCTTTTCTTTGAGAGACTGTGAGTTAAGGTTGTCATTGAGTGAATGAAGTAGGGCTGGGCTTAACTGGGCACGGAGAAGGCAGATAACATTTGCCTGGAGAGGAGGAAATTTTGGAGAGAAGGTGATTTTGGAGAAAAAATAAAACGTTTTGAAGGATGGGGGCCAAAGGAGTGGGGTTGTGGAAGGAGAAAGAGGCCCCTTCTTGTAAAGTGAAAAGCAAGAATTTAAAGTCAGTCTGGATTCAAACCCTGGTGCAGTCGTCATCCACTGGCCTGTGACTTTAGCAAAGTAACTTGCCAGGACCCTGAGCCTCATTCTGCCTCAGAGAAACGGAGGTTCTGTACCTGCCCCCCAGAGTTGTGGAGAGGAAGGGGCTGGACTGTGTGTGTAGAGTGCCTGGCCCAGAATACGGGCTTAAAGACATCAATTCTGAGCAAAGCTGGAGGAGTGGGGCAAGCAGATTTCATTGGTTTGCTTGAACCACTCCATTTTAGGCCGGCAGTTTGCTATATCACTTCACACAAATCCTTTACTCTCTGGGTCTCATTCCCCGCCCTCCCTGAAGGACTAACCAAGCCAGGAGAGCACGTCCATGGGGCATAGGAAGCAGGCTCTCACAGGGCGAGAGCCCCTCACAGGCCTTGGCCTGCTTGTGTCTTGCTCCTCCTTCTCCAGGATGCTCTGCGCAACTCTGGGGGCGACGGGCTGGGGCAGATGTCCTTGGAGTTCTATCAGAAGAAGAAGTCTCGCTGGCCTTTCTCAGATGAGTGCATCCCCTGGGAGGTGTGGACCGTCAAGGTGCACGTGGTGGCCCTGGCCACGGAGCAGGAGCGGCAGATCTGCCGGGAGAAGGTGGGCGAGAAGCTCTGTGAGAAGATCATCAACATAGTGGAAGTGATGAACCGGCACGAGTACCTGCCCAAGATGCCCACGCAGTCCGAGCTGGACAATGTGTTTGACACAGGCCTGCGGGACGTGCAGCCCTACCTCTACAAGATCTCCTTCCAGATCACCGACGCCCTGGGCTCCTCTGTCACCACCACCATGCGCAGGCTCATCAAAGACACCCTAGCCCTCTAGGCCTTGCTGGGGCCTTGCGTGCGCCTTGATGGCTTGTGGACCTTGGCTTCTGAGGACCATACTGTTAGGCCCTTAGGGGCTCTGGAACCCACTCTGGGTCCTTGATGAGACTTGGAAGGGCCACTGCTGGCTTCCTTGTTTTGTGGTTGCCAGTCTCTGGCCATCCTCTTAACCTTCACTGTGGGTCAAGTCTGGCCTCCATGGTCTCTCCGCTCCCCTGGTGGGGGGGGTCCCCTTTCCTTCACTGTACAGAGGAGTCGTCACTAGGATAGTGAATAAAATTGAGAATGTGAATTTAGGTTGAGCCATCTGTCCCTTGGCTGGCGTTCTGCCCTGAAACATGAACACTTCTGGCAGACCTATGGGGACATGGGGGTATGTGGAGGGCAACATTCCAAGATGAGAGGAGTGGGTGGATGGGATTAAAGACAGATTAAAGCTGACTGATTTCGTACTTTGTTGGACATTCACATAAGCAGTGTGACCATAGTCAGTCCCATGAATGAGGACACAGATCAGGATCTGCTGCTTTGGGATATGATATGACTGTGGTATTTCTCCTCCCTTCCTAAGGACGCTATGACATCCTTGTCCTTTATATTACCTGGTCTTGCTTCAGGCACCCCCAAAGATCTCTCCTCTCTATTCATTGAGCACATCCAGGCCCCCACTTGCACCAAAAAGCTCATTTGATTTGGTGTCTCTCTCTCTCCCTCTCTCTCTCTCTGTCGAGATTGGCCAGCTCTCACTTGTCCAGTGTCCAGTGACCCTTCCAGTTTGAGCTGGCCTTCGCCGTTGTTAGGACATTGCTTTGATAACTCACACTTGTGTGCTTTTTATTGTTCCATATTTTAGAATGCTTTTTTGTGGGGTGGGGGTTAAAGGAGGTCCTGGGGATTGAACCCAGCACCTTGTGCATGCTAAGCATGTGCTCTACCACTGAGCTATACCCCCCTACCCCCTACAATGCTTTTTGGTTACATCTGGGCCAGTTCTAACCAGATTGAATGAACTGAGTGTAAGCAGGGGTGCTAAGGGAGAAGTGGATTGGGGGTCTTGTCCTTTGTCCTGGAGCATGTAGGTGCAGGGATGGCCAGGAGGTGTTGGCATATTTTTTCTCATTCCAGGCTGCTCTTGGCTGTGTGCTATTTCATGACAGGTTTTGTGATGTCCTACCTTTGACCTCTGGGGCACTGGGGAGTTGGAGAACTCTGGAGGTCCTCAGGGGTTAAGAGATGGGAAGCAAGTCCTTGATGAGCAGAGGGGTGGGGGTGGGTCTTAAAGTGCCCCCTGCCCTCCATCTTCCTGCCCTGGGGCAAGGAGGCATGGGCCTGCTTGTCCAGCCCTAGGAGGCTCCCGAGGGGATGGTGGATGAGAAAGGCCACGCGTCACTAAGGTTCTGGAGGCTGCTCTTTCGCCTCCTGTCCAAGTGGCCACCTAGGCCACCTAGCAGTATTGGTCTTTGGCCCAGGGATAGGAAGCCCAGGATTGAGGATGGTCCTGTGTCCCACTCAGCGGGGGCAGCACCCTAGCCAGCATTTGGGGTGCGGTCTGGAAGATCTTTTCAGGGTTTTGAGGGAGGGTCTGCTCCTTCTTTTGCCAAGCGGGAGGAAGAGCCCTGGGGACAGGACTCCTGGGTTTGGCTGGTTGGGTGCATGCGCCAGATTTGCATGCGTTGGTCTGTGAGCCTTTGGGCCGAGAAGCACAGCGACGCCCGCCGTGACTGTGGGCCGTATCTGCACTGGAGGAGCCCTTTGTCTAGGAAGGGCCCCAGCGCTCTGCTCAAGGGGTGGGGGCCCAGAGCGCCTGGGATCCGCCCCTCGGGTCCCTCCCCGACGCAGCCGCAGCCTGCCCGCCCGGCCGGGACTCTCGCACATCTGGCGATCCCGAGCACAGCTGGGCAGCCGGCACCGAAGCATGAACGGCTCACAGGCGGGCATCGCAGCCCGAGCCGCCTGGCTGAGCTCCTGCTGCAACCAGTCGGGGGTGCAGCCGGAGCCCCCCGAGGGGCCGCGCGCCTTGCAGGCAGCGGTGCTGGGCGTGCTGTCGCTCCTCGTGCTCTGCGGGGTCCTGTTTCTGGGCGGCGGTCTCCTGCTCCGCGCGCAGGGCCTGACGGCGCTGCTGGCCCGAGAGCTGCTCGCGTCCCGGGAGGCCGAGCCCAGCGGCGCCAGCGGAGGCGAAGACGACTCTTAGACGCCTGGCTGCGCTCGGGGGTCGCAGCCTCCAGGCGACCCGCGGACTCCGCGCCTTACTGCGAGGGAGCGGCCCCGGGCGCCCGACGGCTGCGGCGGACAGAGCCCCGGCGCCCCCCCACGCCGCGATGCTGGCGCGCACGCGCAGGTGAGAGCCCTCGCTGGCGAGAGCCGCAGCGCCGGCCTCGGGGCGCAGGAGGCCGTAGCCTTCGTATTGGCACTGCTCTCTGGGCGCAGCCACAGAGCCCCCAGCTTTTCAGCGACTCCGGTTTTGCCTCTGGAAGCCCACAGGGTGGGGCCTGCAGCTACCCCAGGTGTGCCGGATCTGAGCGAAGAGGCTGCCCCTCCCTCCCTCTTCCAGTCTCTCTCCTGTAGCAGCGGCCCCAACCCAAGGTTTTTTTCTAGATCACTGTTACTATGGGAGCGGGGGAGGCAGGACAGACCATGGAGCAGGGAGGCCGGAGGGGCCACAGTGTGCTGTGAGGCCCTTCTTCCCTGCAGCCACGCCACCCAACTTTGCTCCAGCCCGACCTAGTACTAAGGCCCAACTTGGTGTCACCCCCAGCACTGCCCATCCCACTGGAAGGCTGAGGAGAGACACCTCCACAGAAACTCAGACAATCCAGGCCTCTGGCTTCTGCTTCCTTCTCTCCTTCTGGAAGCCTTTTCCCTGGAGGGGATTTGAGTAAGATTCCTCACTGTGGCCTCCCTCTTGAGGCAGGGATGGGAGTGAATTTCAGGGCAGAGCCTGGGACCTGGATGACCCTGGGGGATGGGGCCTCCTCCCCCAGCCCCTGCACAAGTTGGCAGGATGCATGTAGCCCAGAGCAAGGAGCTTTGGGGGTGTGTGTGTGTGTGTGTGTGTTTGTGTGTGTGGTAGGTGACAAGGCTCCTAACAGCTGAGGGGCCTCAGGAGCACGTTGCTCCAGGAAGCTGTGGCTGAGGAGTCCCAGCTGTGGGGTCTCCATCTGGCCCTCTTGCCTCTGTCTCTCCAAGGACAGGAGCCATCTGGAGGGAAGGGCCTGGGTGGCCAAAAGACAAGGTAATTCTAGGCCAAGGCTGCCTTGGGCAGAGAGCCACAGGGGTTGGTGAGGGAAGTCTTCTCTGTCCCTCCTCTCTGTTCCAGGTTGTACCTAGGGGGTCCCAGGAGGTTTCTGTGGGTGGGGCTGTTTACTGGAGGTGCCTCTGACCTCTCTTGCCCCTCCTACTCTAGAGCCCCTCCCTTGCCTACAAGCGGCAGGCAGAGGCAGGGTCCCCGCTTCCCTCTGGCAGAGACCAGAGTGGGCGCAAGGGAGTGAGTGCTTGTGAGGAGGGGCTGAGGAGGGGCAAGGGGCTGGAGTGGGCAGGGTGCAGCTAAGCAGCTGTGAAGCTGACGACGTGTGATCTCTGCTCAGAGCAGCCCAGGATCTGGTGCTAATCCTGGGCAGCTGTGCCACACTGGCCTCGCTGAGCTGTGGACTTCTCACCTCAGGCACACTGCCCCCACCCCCTTGGAGAGAGGGCTGGCCAGGGCAGTGAGAGGTGTGTGTGTGTGTGTGTGTG